TTAATGTATAGTTTACAAAGGTTTAATAAAGCACACCTAACTAACCTGACAGAGGGTTAATAAAAAAAAAAAAATAATAATAATAATAATTTATTATGATAATTAATGTATATAGTGTTTATTTAAGAATATATACAATAGATATATTATCTCTTTTTTCTTTTCTTCTTTATCTATACAAGTATATATAATAGTGATTTGTACCTACTAAATAAGTCAAATAAAAATTGTAGGGCTTGATATAATATATGCAGTAATAACCTATTGATAAACTAGGAAAATCTTTACCCAAAAATACCACAAAGCAAACTATTGTTCTCAAGGCTGAACTTAGAGGCTTTTATATTTACAATAAGTTAGTTAGATAGGATAAAAGTAGTTTAACTGTAGTATTTATAATACTGCTGGAATGAAAATGTACTTATATTTTCAATTAATTAATAAACTTATAATCTAGCCTGGCTACAGGTACTCAAAAAAAAATAAATTAAATCTTGTTTTTGAAATTATTAATTTGATAATTATAATAGTTAATAATATATTATTCTAAAAGAATTATTAAAAAATATTATTCTTTCATTGCTCCTCTAACCATATATAAAAAAATATTTATAAGAAATTATTATATTTTTTATTAATGAAATCTTATTACTTTTTTTAAATCAACTTAAAAAAATTTTTTGGAAATCATTTTTACTTTTTTTTTTTTGTTTATATTCTTTTTTAAATAAAAACTTGATAGCCAGTAGTCTAAAAGTTATAAAATATCTTTTCTACTAATAACAAAAAAGTTCTGAAAGAAAAAAAAAAATGTTTAGTTTTTTACTTACTAGAAAAATATTACAAAGTCTTGTTAATAATAAAAAATAAAACTTCTATTTTCTTATTCCTGTGATGGCTTTAATAATATTCTTTTTTTGATTTTTTTTTGAAAAATTTTACTTACTCAGTTTGATCCTAAATTTTGAATAGCATAAAGTTTTTTAAATTGTAATTGGATAACAATAAACATATTAGTAAAAAAAAATGTAAACAAACTTCTATTAGTTATCTTATGCATTTAAATATATTTTTTTAGTTTATAAGAATCTAAAATTCATCATAAATTATTTAAATTAATATATGAGTAGATATAAAATATTACTCTTATTACTCAATATATTTGATCAAAAAAGTTTATTCAATTATAGTAAAAATTATAAGATATTACAACTATTTTTAGAGTTATAGTTACTTATTTATAATTGATAAATAGGTTTTTTTTAATTTTATTAAATAGAAAAGATTTGAGTTTACAATTTTTATGATAAAGTTGGATTTCTTTAATAGGTATAAATAATGGAATAAAATTTTTTCTTTCAAATAACATTCTTCTTGACAACAAATCATTTGATGAATAAGTAATTAGAATGTTATAATGTGAAAATATTAAAAGTAACTAAGAAATAGATAATAAATCATCAATTGAAAAAGTTTTTGAAGAATAACTAGTCTATGATATTAAAGTAATAATAGTAACAAGAGATCTTAATAATCTTGTAAAATTTTAGAAATGTTTTATTGATTATTACATTTTCTTGTATATGAAAATTTGTTTTAAATCTTGAAAATTTAATAAAACTAAATTAAGATGCTATTTCAAAAAAAAAAAAAAAAAAAAGATATTTCAAAAAATAATATATCAATACATAAAAGTAATGTAATAAATAAGCTTAAATCTGAGCTTGAAATCATAACTAAGAAATGGTTTTCATAGTTTTCAGACCTTAGTCCAATAGAAAATATATAAAGAAAAGTTAAACATTAAATTTACAAAATAAAAAGCTATGAACTAGAAAAAACAGTTATTATAATATAATATAATAATATATTTGAAAAGATTCTTGGATTTATAGACACAATATCAAAATGGGTTAATGAAGTAATAAAATAAAAAAAGGTATTCAACCCATTGGTGAATATTTGTAAATCTAAAAAAATGTTGTATAACTCCTCTGTGCAATAAGAGTTAGCTGTCACGTGAATGGTAAATGTTTATTTGATATCTCGATAAAGACATGTCATAATAACATGATTGTGGATTAAAAGATTATTAATCACTAAAATTTTGTGCGACAGTGCATAAAATTTTTTTTTCATAATCAAATCGAAATATCCTAAATCTATTGATCATAATTTTGTTTTTATACCGAGTTTTTTTTTTTTTTTTTAACACTAATTAGAGATTAAAATGTGCATATTTCAAAAATTAAAGCTCAATTAGGGAACTTGTCTAACTTTCTTGTTCATATTATCTTCACTTCCTTCATCACCTTCAGATTTAACTTCTGCTTTGCGTTTCTTCTCATTTTGCTGTATTTGATCAGATACATTGCTATCAACAATCATATCGGTGGCACTGTCGGTAACCTCATCGGAATTAGAGGCCCCCTTTCTCTTAATCAACGATGTAACATCGTTCACTTGTTTTATGTCATTCGTTGATGAGGCTTTTATTGCTTCTGACGCTAATTCAGATAGGGCCGAAGAGGACATCGACTTCACGTACTCCTCAAGCGCTAATTCACTAGGATTAAGTGATTTTTGTTCCTGGTTAATCGATGCCTTAATATCTTCCACCTAGAAAACAAATATCACGAATGCTGAATAAAATTTAACTTTTGTAGTGCACAGGATGTATCATTATTCACTTTACCTTCGAATTCATGTCTACCAATAATTCATCGATATCTTTCATTTCTTTGTCAATAGCCACTGCTGGATCCTCGGTAGTCGCTACTTTCTTACCCTTTCCAAATGATTCTTGATATTCGGACAATCTATTTTGTAAGATTTCCTTGCGTTTTTGCAACACTCCTATTGCTTCCTGCACGTGTTTAATGGCCTCGTCTTGATTATTCGCGTCAGGGATCGATTCGAGCGCCAAAGCTAATCTCCAATGAGTGTTGAACTAGTCAAAGAATCTTATTTACAAGAATGATTTATTTTAAATGAATCAAGATTGCTGCTATACAGTAAGGATATGCTTCTGCTATTTGTCGATTATCCTCGGAAAGAGTCTCTTTCTTGATTATGAGTCCTTCTCTGTAATCAATCGCAGCCTGGTCAAACTTTTCTAAACATTAATTTTGAATGTGAATTTAGGCATACTAATAAGCTTCAGATAAACGAAATACATGTATCTATAATTAAGCAGTTGACCCACAAAGATCGTTACCATTCTCAAGGGACACATCACCCAACTTTATATATACTTCGCCAAGGTTCCTTTTCGCAGATTCGCTTGAAATCTGCGAATATATATCTCGAGAATATTCTAGTACTTCCCACGCGAGACTCAGGTCATCCGTCTGTTCTTCGGATGATTCCATTGTGGTTGTTGTTTCAACTTGATCAACGATCTCGTTCCCGTTATCGAGATGTTCTTCACTGTCAGAATCTCCTTCGAAGACAAAATTGGAGGAGCTAACCTGGGAGGTTTCTAAGAAAAAAAAAAATTTATTTCAAATATAATACGTGAAGCGTGGAGTCAAAGATCTTTTGCCAGTTAAGATAATCTTACCAACTGGTATCTCGGTGGTGGGCTCCTGTGGGATTGCTTGAGGTCCAAGGGCGGTGGACTGGGTTCTGAAATTTTCGAGTAAAGCGTGTCCATAATTATACAGAGCTTCAGCATACTCTTCCGACTCTGTTCCATAAAATTGACCACTGGAAGAAGGCAATAATACGCGTTTTAACAGACGCAGTTTGACCCTTACGCGTTAATGCACAATACTGGTACGCGCTATAACACTTGCATGAGTTCGGAGGCTTCGGAAAACTTTTCGACTGCGGTTTCGAAATCGTGCAAAATGAAGGCTTTGAAGGCTTCCTCTTTAAACACCTGAATGCTCTTCGAGTCAACTGTTGTCGAACTACTTGAAGAAGGAAGAACCCCTTCAGCATTCGCCGTTGCATTTTCTGTTGGAGAATATGTAGAACTATTACTCATTTTGCTCAACGCCGATATTTTTTAATTAAGATTAAACACTAATTTGGTACAGGTCTTTGCTATAAGTAAGCTAAGACCACCGTCGTACGGGGGCGATCCCAGTGTAATATTATTTCTTAATAGCTAATCAAATTTTATGTTCTCATTAGAGAACAAAAAAAAAAAAAAAA